ACAAAAAATTGTATAGAACTTCTGCGCAAAATGTGATGAACTTCAAGAGACCAAACGACAACAAAAAAAGCAAGACGAAGAAGCTAGGCGACAAAAAGAAAAACAAGAAGAAGAAGCTAAATGACAACAAGAAAAACCAGACGAAGAGTCCAGACGAAGTGGCCAGACGAAGAGGCCAGACGAAAAAAAGAAAAACAAGAAGAATAAGCTAGGCGACAACAAGAAGAATAAGCTAGGCGACAACAAGAAGAGGCTAGGCGACAACAAGAACGGCAAGAAAACTCTAAACAACTGCAGAAAATATTTCAAACCATACGAGCATCTGTCGCTAACCTATAACAAAAGAATAAAGAAGACGGAAGTAAAACCCAAGGTTAAAAATGATGTTCAAGAAGTTGGAGACAATGTTCGAGAAATTAAAGACGACGTTCAGGAAGTAAAAGCTGGTGGTCAAAGCCGATGGTCAGCAGTTAAAACCTGGAGAACCCAGTTCAAGCACTTGAAGATATAAGGTGAATAAATTAGAAATATAGTCCATTAATCCAGGTCGTATTGGAGCATTCTCTAGTATGAAGATAAAATCACCAACTTTGGACGGTTCTACTTCCCGGAGCATGTATATCCGACAATTTGTAGCTGCTGCAAATACCAACGAATGGAGCGATCAAGAAAAAGCTACAGTACCGATAGTGACGCTACGAGGACCTGCCTCAGATCTTATTCAATCCATTTCTTCAATCTACCAACAGAATTACCAGCATCTAAGTCAGACGTTAGAATTGCGTTTCGGAGACCATTACAGACAAGAAGTATTTAAAACTCGAGTTAAATCAAGACTTCAAAAACCCGGTGAAAGTTTACAAGAATTCGAATCCGGAAGTTAAAACGCAAGTGATTTTGGCGTTTCCTGCAGCTGGGGAAGACATGTAGGAATGGATGACAGAATTCTGCGTTTATTGATGGTCTCAGAGATTCCAAGATCCAGGAAAACCTGAGAGTGTCTAAGTCCAGAAAAAGAAGCGAAGCAAGCCCTTGTCCGAACATTGGAACTGGAAGCTATCTTTGGTGCCTCACGACCCAGAATAGGTACGAGCAGTGTCCACTGAATCACTGAAGACCCAAAGGAAAAACAATCGCCAAAAGAGGATGGTAGGTTTGAGAATGTTATGAGTATTTTAATGGAGAAAATGGAGAAACTATTACTAGAGGGTAGACAAACGGAGAACGACTCCCTCCAAACATACACCAACACCGCGAAATCGAGTAAAATGTTACCGGTGCCATAGGCGTGGACATATTCAATGGGATTGTAGAATAAGGATGTCCTCTTCATCTAGGGATCGTTCCCAACGCTTTTGGGGATCTAGGATCTAGAGACGCCAGCTCGCCAGCACTGACCATCGACCTGGAAACCTGCATAAAAAGGCTGACGCTCTGTCTAGCGGCCATGCAAAGAAGACTGCAGGCATTATCAAAGAATCAATATGCATGAGAAAAACACTAGTCCAGCTGTGAGAAGAATGGGTGCAGGTCAAGAGGCAGACCAGGACATCGGGCAAATTTTACATCCTAAAGAAAATGATGAATGTGTAGGCCAGAGTGGGAGGGAAGTGTCGAAAAAGAGTTTGCTTTGCAAGGCGTTGTGGGCTCAGTGGAACTCTCTGGCCGTATAAAATGGTTTACTGAAAAGAGTTTTGGAAAGTGCAAATGGGAAAACTAATAAGCCAACTAATCATTCCAAAGTCGTGTAAAGATGTATCAAAAGAAATACCTACAAAATTCGGGGACGTTTTTACTAGGTCGATCACTATCATGAAGACGTTAAAAACTGGTGCCGAAAATGCGACATCTGTGCTACTAGTAAAGGCCGTAAACTTAGATCTAGGGGGCCCATGAAACATAGTACAATGTCCGTCTACCATTTGAAAGGATAGCGATAGATGTTGCCGGACCGTTCCCTGAATCAGAGCGTGGTACCAAATACATCTTGGTTTTCGCTATTCCCAATCACGATGAAGCCATCATTATTGCCCAGAGGTGCTAGTGGACGAAGTTTTTAGTCGCCGAAATTGTCTTCAGCATGGGAAAGACCCTACAGAATAATCAAGACGATCAATGATTTGGTTTATCGAGTTCAGCGCAACACCAGGAGTAAGTTGAAAGTCGTATATCTAGACAGATTGACGACGTATCATGAGCGTGAAGTTGATCGGGACGATCAACCTTAAGAGGACAGTATGACAAAAATGTGACGCCTTCGCCAGGGTGCACAGAATCGCAAAACTGAATTCTAGAACGTACAGTGTTATTCAGAAAAATGAAGACTATTGTCTTATTCTGGATTTTACAACGATGGATTACAGATATATAAAGGCCGGATTAGTTAGTAAATTGGCTGTTATACGTTTTAGATAGTGAATATTGTAAAGTCAAGTAATTATTGTCAGAGTGTTATTGTCACGTTGAATAAATAATTGTTGCGTTAATTGGAATTTTCTTTTTGAATAAACGTATCCAAGATTTGTCACACACGCCAGAGCCGTGACAACAATGTGAATAACAGTCTATACCATTAGCTGGTAGATGAAATACCCACATATTGTCTCAAAAAAAGATGCAGGTATGGTTGATTGTTTAATCTCATGTTTATGAGATAACCTCCGACTCAAACATGATTTAAAAATAACCATGGGAGTTATGATGGGACAATACAACCATTCACTGCTATAACTTAAAGAGGGTGTGACCCTAAAAAACGACTTAAGCTACTTAAATCAAGAAAAAAAATCTAAGATCTCTCGTGGAAACCGCACTCCTTCATCCAAAATAGTCTCCGAGAAAATTTCTTGTGAAGATAAATTATGCAGGAATTTGTGATGTCACAACCTCCAAAATCACAGTCTTCTGACTCTTCTGTTCGTTCAGTCGTCAGTGTACCCTACCCTATACTTTGAGTGGTTGCAATTCGCTCTAGGAGATAATTGTCTTTGTTTTGGAAAATTCTTACACGTGTTAATACTGGCCCTGATAATCCAGTGTGACGCAGAGGTTATTCTAACGTGCAGTTGTACACAAAATGTGCAGTAGGAAAAGTATATTGTGCAGTGGGAAATTAGAATCTGTGTAGTAATATGTCACATATGAGAATACAATAGCACTATCAATACAATTATTCTAAAATTTCTTGCTATTTTTTCCTCAGAACGATCTCCAAACTCTCCGCTTGCCTCATCCTCATTGGCTTCAGGATAAATACGTTTTGAATCATCTTTGCTGTTTGGCCTGTACAGTTTGCTAGACTTTGTGCTGACGCTTATTCAACCACATCATAGTGGCTTGTCGAGGATCCCATTCATTTTCAGAATCTACTGACAAGCTACTACGGGATAGGCTTTTTAATGTATTGCTGGTCTGATACTGATAAGTCTTTCCACAGTTTCCATATCCGCTATGCGATTTAGCATTCAAGACCCGTGCGAAAGCTTAGTCGCATTAAGGAATTCCGAAAAACTAGTTAAAAAGTTAACCAACCCAGAATTCTGAAAGCGTCAGTTTCTGCAACTTTGCAATTTGTGGATGTTCTAGTATTTCTACTGTGCTTGACAATTCCTAAATTCGTGGTTTTATCACTGATAGCTTATCAGCATCTATTTCATACCTTTCGGTGAGGAATTCTACGAGAGATTCAACTACTTTCATGATGACGGCATCATAGCTTCACTTCTCTGTGCAGTGGAAAAAATCCTTAGAATAACCTCTGGTGTGACGTCACAAACACCTAGTTGTAACTTTAAACCGCCCTAATTCGAAAACGGACCATCCTAGCAAGATGCAGTTTAAATAGGTATTTATTATTAGATTTTTTTGCACTAAAACAAAACTTTCAGGGATTTTTAATGAGTGGAGCTTTGAATGTGACTCTTGTAGAAACAAAAGCAAGAGTCACATTCAAAGCTCCACTTAGATTAAATATCCTTTAAGTTATAGTCGTGCAAATAGCCATTAGAAATTCACCAAAACGCTACAAAGTTGACGGGATTTTGAAAACCATGGACGATTTTTTTTTTGTTAACCGCTTTTCCTTTCCATTATTAATAAAGGCCCTCACAGAATGCGCTTTTATTCGACGAGCAAATCTGGTCGAGCAAAAACGACGGATTGCACACAGAACTCGGTTTAGTTTGGTGAAGATCAGTCATGTTGAAAAGTTTTTAATGTTTTGTATTTTTTTTTTTTAACAAGTTAATAATATAAAATTCTGTAGCTACGCACCACAAACCACACAAAACCGTCGTTTTTAAAATTCGTAGCCCACACACTTCAGATTTGTTGACATATCGAACATATCCGACGGACAAAATCAGGCGAAGCCAGATATTTTCATCGGTTTTGTATGCCAGCAAAAACGATAATTTTTCGCACACACACACTTCGGGTTTTGCGTCGTTTTTGCTCGTCGAACAAAACCGTCCAACAAAAACGCAGTCTGTGGGGGCCTTTAACACACTCTCACACCATTGTATTGAGCCTCACACAAATGAGATGAATTCGACAATTTGTTGGACTCCAGTAGTTTCTACAAACATTGTTGGTGTACCCGTTTCCTCCAGGCTTCTTCCCAAGGAAAATAAAGTAATTCTAAGAGAAATATTCTAAATCCTTTCTGAATAATTTACTCAGAATGCTTCACTTATACATCAAAAACTTATAAGAAAAGTACATAAGACTTGAGAACATATTAAAAAAATTCATACCGACACTGACACATCACACACTTAAAACAACAAGCAGTAGAACTTCAGTTCTAAGGACAAAAATGGCAGAACAATGTAAGAAAACTTTCAACAAGGGGCCTAAATTCTCATAATGACCGGCTGAATAAGTAAAGTAAGATTTTCGAAACGCAGAGTTGAAATCACAGAAGAGCAGGTAATCCATTGTTGTTCGTGATTGCATTATTTTTTCATAAAAGGGTGTTTCTAAATAAATATAACAAAAACTTCCGTTCCATATTTGATAGGTATATACTTACAAAACCCCAACTTTATTCATTACCACAAAAAAAATTAGTCAAAAATTCTTAAAAATTACATTATGTGATCAAACTTCCGAGTGATGCTAATTTAGTAGAATCTGTATTAAATAATTAGGTACAAGGTTAATTTGTGTATAATATTCTTTATGCAACTCTGCTTTGGCTCGTTTGAGAAACTAGAAATATTGTCTTCTAAACTAAAAACATTAAAATTAAGGCACTACTTTACTAAACACATCAACTCTCATCCAGTAGAAACAGATACACAATATTTTAGATAGGTTATTATTGTCAAATTGAGTAAACCAAGATGACTTCAATACTGCAAATATAACCCTATTCTTATTGATCGAGTTGGACTCAAGAAGGCAGTCAATGTGTTATTATTATCAATATTCAATTAGAGTCAGTCTCTGAGTCTTTCTTCTTAGTAGTTGTAGACTCGTCTTCAGCTGCTTCTTCATCTGGCATCATTTCCTATACAAAAAAAAACATAAATTATGCACCATTATAGTAAATAGTTTGGCTTAGAATTACCTGTAAAACTTCCACAAGACTCCTAGCTTCATCCAACATCTCTTTGCATATTTTATTCTCCTCTTGCAGAGTCTCGATATTGCCTTTCAATTTTTCAATTTCCTGAAAGCTTTCGTCCAGACATTCTTGCCTCTTTTCAGCCAATCTTTTCCAATAATCTAATCCTGCTTCCTCTCCAGTTAGATCATCGATATCGGTTATGTATTTCTCAGTTTGAGTTTCTTTGTGCATGAGCAATGGTTTAGGTTTTTTAGGTTCGTTACTTCCACTAAAATACGAAAATGTCTTTAATTTGATTACGAGTTCACTTGTAATATTGAGGTGTGAATTTTCTATATTTTTAATTGAGTTGTCCAAATATCATGTATTTGTATTATTAATTATTATCAAAGAAAGGAGTTATAAAAACCTCTATTTTACCGCACTCGTGCGGTAATAGGGCTTATTACATAACACAAATAAGCTAAAATTATTGACATAATAGTCACTAATTTTGCAGGTCGTAGATAAAATTAATAAATAAGTACCTAAACAAACGAATATACAGAACAAAAAAGAAAAAAATGTTTTTTTTCTCCGAATGACAGTAAAAGCGGCCTTTTAATGACACTTGATAGGATCAAAAGTTGTATTTTTACTGCCTAGGCAGTAAAAGTGGACTTTTACTGCCTAGGCATTAAAAGTGACAGTGTCACAACGTTCCAGGTAATAATTTCACTCAATTTGGTATTTGAAATTGATGGTGACATTGACAATTGTCAAAATAATTTAATTATTTGGATAATAATAATGAATGAAATAAATATAAAAAAGATGTCCATGTGTGAATTTGAACATTCGGAGAAAAAATTATATGTTTTACATGGCAGAAAAGCAGATTTAATGCCTCGGCTGGTTTCCTAGCCTCGGCTATGAAACACCAGCCGCGGCATTAAATCTTGTACTTTTCTGCCTAGTAAAACAAATAACTATTATAAAATCCATTTTATCTGTTTATTATGAAAGATACAATCAAGAAATTTCAAGGGTAGGTGTAGGACTGGATGTAATGTACAGGGTGATCTATTATAAATGTCATCCCCTTCTAACTTTTCCATTTGACATTTTTGACAAAAGTGTTAAATACAAAAGTTTCAATAAATTGTCAAAAGTTTTTAACTACGTTGATTTCAGGCATAGGTACAGGGCGCATCAAAAAAGTGCAGAGGTGTGAAGCTATATTTTTTTAAATGGAACACTCTGTATGTTGTGCACTTATTTGTTAGTTCCTTTTAACCTGATTTCAACGATATACGGCTTGATATGTCTATCTTCAATAGCTATAGGGAAAAACATGAAAACCCCTTTCAAGGTTTCACATTGAAAAAAGAAAAATTATACCATTTAGGCTTTGGAGAATTTTTTTTTATAAACAGTTTATTGCTCAAATTTTATTCATTATTAAAAACGGTGAAATACAGGGTGTCCCAGCCGAGAGTGACCCATTTTAAATGCTTATAACTTTTAAACCAGGTGAGCTAGCTACCTGCGGTTTGTGCGATTCGATTTCTCTTGGTCTAAAGTTTTTTCTAGTAAGTTTCAATTTTTTTTGAAACTTATACAGGGCGAGTGAAAAAAATTCCGTTTTTCCCTACGTCAAAAAAAAGATTCATGTTTAAGGTATCCATATACCAATAGACATTGTCCCTAAAACTTAAAGTTTTACCCGTAAAAAATTAAAATCGAAATTTTGGTATTTTTGCAAATGCATGTAACTTCATGTTGTAGGAACTTGATTTCACTATGGCAAAATGTTTTGTAACTGTCTAGTAAGATATCAATTAAATTAAAATACATTTTCCAAGAAAATTTAATGAGTTCGAAAGTATTTTCTCTGGAACTCATTAAATAGAGATACCCCAACAGTAACAGTTTGGTGTGCAATCTCTATTGAGAAAAAATACAGACCATTTTCATTGATGAACCAACAATAACAGAAACTGTATACACTGATATGCTCTTTTTCTCACAGTTAAGACACGAGGTTATCTTGGATGATATCTATTTTCAGCAGGATGGTGCCCCCACCTCATTATTCTTTAATAGCAAGGGAATCACTAGATATGATATTTGGGGAAAGAAGGATAAGGAGAGCTGGCCTATAGAATCGACACCTTACTCTCTTGACTTGAGAGTTCTAGAGTTTTTTCTCTGGGGCTATGTCAAGGAAAGATGTGGTAATACTTTGCTCAAATAGCCTAAAAGATCTTAAGCGGAGCATTTGTAATGTCATTGAAGCGATTCTCCAGGATATCACAATTCATTCAACCATTTATTGATCCATAATTGCCTGGAACAGAATGGCTAACATATACATCTGTATAGGTACTTACAGCATTTTGTATAGTTTTATGCAGTTGTTATTAACTTTTTATTAGGCAAACATAAGTTCCAAGCTTTGAAAATATGCGTTTTCAAAAATACCAAGATTTCGATTTTGATTTTTTACGGCTAAAACTTCAAGTTTTAGGGACGATGTCTATTGGTACATGGATACCTTAAACATGAATCTTTTTTTTGACGTTGTGGTATACAGGGTGTTCCATTAGAAATAGTGGAGAATTTCGATGCTGAAAAAAGGAATTTTTTTTACTCGCCCTGTATAAGTTTCAAATTTTTTTTAAACCTACTAGAAAAAACTTTAGACCAAGAGAAATCGAATGGCACAAACCGCAGGTAGCTAGCTCACCTGGTTTAAAAGTTATAAGCATTTAAAATGGGTCACTCTCGGCTGGGACACCCAGTATTACAATAAATCCAGATGTCTAAGTTATTATTAGTATTTTAGAAAAAATAACATGAGAGCCTAAAAAGGGATTTTCGCGTTTTTTCCCTATTACTATTGGAGATAAACGTATCATTCCGTATAACGTTGAAATTAGGTTAAACGGGACTAGCAAATAAGCACACAATACCGGGTGCCCACGAGATCACTTTCCGGCTGCCATTTTTTTAATTTTTCTATCGATATCAACGAAACTTGGTAGGGTTGATATTCTAACCAAACGCCATTTTTATGCATTATTAACAGATTTTCTTGACTTCCGCTTTCACCGGAAATGACCGGAACTTTTAATTTTTAAATGGCACACCCTGTAGATTAAATTTTAATTTTTCAACTAGAGTGCCATGATTATCCTAAAATGACTCTACATACTTTACTCAATTTCAGAAAAATACAAACTGAATTTTATCTTTGTAAACTTTTTTGATAGAGGGCTGTAAACTTCATTATTTTAGTATCTTTGCCCTAGCTCAAAAACTAGAATAGGAACATATCACTTTCATAACAGTATTAAATGCAGTATTTTGAAGCGAATCCAACGATATAATACACTATGACATTTTTCTTAATTTTCGTTCAAATATTTTTGTTTTATTATGTAGGTTATTATTTTTTTTTCTACCTAAAATTTAATTTGAAAACGAAATTTGGACAAAGTTCGATTTAAAAGTGGTATATTAGGACGTAAAAGGATCTGTAGAATCCAAAAAACAAAAAATATACAGGGTGAGCCATTTGATTATCGAAAGTTTCGGTAATTTCCGGTAAAACCGGAAGTCAGGAAAACTTGTCATGAATGCACAAAAATGGCATTTTGTTAGACATGAACAAATAAAAAAATGGCAGCCGGAAAGTAATCTCGTGGGCACCCGGTATACAGGGCCGAGTACAAGGTGTTCCATTTAAAAAAATATAACTTCACACTGCTGTACCTTTTTGACGCACCCTGTATGCCTAAAACTGACTTGGTTAAAAACTTTTGATAATTTCTTAAAACTTTTGTATTTGACACTTCTGTCAGAAACGTCAAATGATAGGTCTGTTTGTTATCCTCCACTAGTGCACAATAATTTACACTTTTCTGCACTAAGGCATTTGTTATGCGGTTAGTGCAAATAGTGTAAGACGTTTGTTATTTCAGTGTAGGGTGCCCAATATTGCACTACCTACACCTGCTCAAGAGGAAGTGTAACAAGTGCAGAATGGGGAGGGAGCAATATTATTGTTTTGTTTGGCTGTGACTATATTTATAAACCTTGATTAATAGTAATTAATACGAAAATGCTTCTTGAATTCGATATCTGTATGAGAAGGCACTAAAGTCTCAAATTTTTTTCCTATGCAGTTTCGTTTATTGCGCTTCTGGCTATTAAAAACTACTTCAATGAACGTGTTTTCAAACTGGAAGATAGGGAATCTTCATCTTCTCTATAATTTCCGACAATAAAATCTTGAAAATTTGATTTTTTGCAATAATATTACATATTACACATTTTTTCTCGGTTAGTTTCTACTTTAATTTATTTAAATAATCATTTTTGGGGTTAGAGAATTATCCGCTCCTATCGCTACACGAACTGCACTAAAGCGTTTGGTAGTTTTCCTTTATCCTGGTGGTTATGAGCAACACCTAACTGCACCACCAGTCTGCATTGACCTATCCTACACTAAAATAACAAACAGACCTAAAGTTAGCAGGGGGTGACATTTATAATAGATCACCCTGTACAATACGAGGACTTTGTAAAACGCTATTTTTTCTGTTTTGCCCTGTATATTCATTGTTATTTCGAGTTCGAAAAAGTTGATGACAGATTAGGCACTTGATTCTTGAAAATCCCCACGTACTTCAAGTTATTCCGGACACCCTGTATATTGGTCTGCTCACAAATGACAAAGTCTATACTAGCTGAGCAATACCATGAGCGGAAGAAATGAAGTGACGATTAACCCTCCGTTTGAACATGTGAAGTAGGAGGCAGGGGGTTCCAACAAAGCTACCACCTTCGCATCTTGATTGACTATATGAATCTCTCAAACAGTAATGAAACACTAAACAATTCCCTACTCAGTATATGATATATTATTGCTGCCATTTTCAGAAGCAAAAAAATTAAAAAACTTATTGTCCCAATGTCCATTTATCCAAATTGGAACATCATTGTAAGCAACCTACTTTTATTATTGCAAATGACGATCATCGATATGTGCAAAATCAGCATTTATTGTATATAAAAGGCGATCAATTTCATCAATAAAATAAGATTCAAACTTATTGTTGTTTCTCTTACTTAAATTGTGGCCAAGTCACCATTGGCCTAGCAACGCTAGTAGAGTCGTGAGACTGCGCTCTAATTACTTTTGCTTTAACCTTATTGTAGCAGGTGCTCTGTCTGGTTACATTCGGCCCTTCTTTAAACCTGTAGCAAGTGCTTTGTCTGGTTACAGGTTTTAATTTAACCCTTATAGCAAGTGCTTTGTCTGGCTGGGGTCTTCTTTCCAACTTACAACAATTGCTTTAGGCTGGTTGTAAGTTACCTATCTTACGCCCTAGTGCGAGTGCCGTAACTTTAAGTCCTGTCTGGTACTGAGGCCCTTCTGCTCTTCTATCCTAAACCATCAGGATCAAGCAGAAAATACCGTCCAGAGAATCAAAGTCTCCTGGAGTGTACACCATACACCCAAAAAGGTCATAAATATGGAAATGATATGAATCAACTAGTGATGGCAAGGGAGCAGGGCGTACCCAGGGGGGGGGGGCAAGGGGGCATTTGCCCACCCCAAGACAAAAGTCAATTATTAATTAATAACATCAAACCACTATCATATATGTACATATCAGGTTTCAAATAAACTTTACATTGAGAAGATTGCTAACGTACCTCCGTAATACCGCAAGTACTGTCCGTCTTAATAGTCTTGCCCTTCTCAACATTCATACCGAAATATCGCTATTTCCCGATGAGATATTAGACAAACTAGCTACAGTTAAGCACCGATTAAATATAAATAATTTAGGGACGATACTTTTGCTCTCGATTAACGAATTTGATACGTTGTCAAAGTTTCGCATGGGCCAAGGTCCATAAGTATAATGTGATTAGAGCACAGTCCAACCCCTGATTATTTTTAACGGCTGTCAAATGAGAGCAAAAGTACCGGCACTCAATAGGTCTGTTCCCACAGGAATCTCTGACAGTTTGCAAACTGTCAGTAAGCATCGCCCATACATGTTTTCAATGCTGTCGTTACAAGATAAATCTGTAACTCAGCTGAGCGATTGTTTCTGACAGGTTGCAAACTGTCAGAGACTCCTGTGGGAACAGACCTAATGTGTTGTTCTAATTTTGTGGTTAAGTTTAATTAAATATTGGTATAAGGTGACATTTGAATCCTTGTTTTATTTTCGAGACCAGAGCCATAGGGAGCGGGGGTGAGGCCCCCCATTTGCTGTTTAGGGCGACGAATCCTTGTTCTTTTAACGATTTTGACGACTTCTTGCCAAAAATTGGGCGTTGCACTCCTAAAATTTTTCTGGCTACGCCGGCTTTCCTCCTGCGGCGGGCATTTGTTGCCCCCCCCCCCCCCCCAAATGTTTTTTCTGGGTACGCCACTGCAAGGGAGAATATTACCAAGAGAAGTTACGGTAATATTACCTCACCCTTGGGGTAATATTACCAAAACAAGAATTTTAAACCGGTAACTTATGGTAATTTTCTCAGAAAGTTTCCATGTAATATTCTAGGGAATATATAAGATAATAATGCTGTGCACAGTGGCGTAGCGTGAGCTTTCGTCGCCTGGGGCTGACCGGAAATTCGCCGCCCCCTCTATTTCATATATTAGAAAAGTAGTAAAAGTCAAATAGCATTTTTAATAGGGAATTTTCATATTTCTTAATTCATTTTTTTGCAGATACTTCTAGTGATGAGATATTACATATAGTTTTCTTTTTTCTCATTTTTTCGTACCTGTACCTGTAGTATACCTGTTAACCTGTAAGTACACCTGTATACCTAAAAATTTCAGGTATTCTACTTTTCCGCACTTAGTGCGGAAAATAGCTGAAAAGCACTAGTGCAGAAAACTGGTACTTTCATGACCTAAAATGCGTGCGGAAAAGCACACATTTCCGCACGCTCGTAGAATTTTTTTTTAATTGAAATCCAAATCAAAAACTTTCGCGCGAAAGCGCCAGGTTTCAATTTCTGTATTCCTTTTACCCGTTGAGTTACTCGGAGCTGCTCAATGACAAACGTTTGAAAGTTCCTTGAAAATGCGTTGACCACTCGAGTCGCTCAAAATTTGATACCAGTTGCAAGTAGTTCCCTATTGACAGGTTTGTTTACAGAATCGTGATGTCAAAAAAGGTAGCCATCCAATGACATCTTAGACAGCATACAAAACATTGTTTTGGCGGGAAGTTCTTCATTTCAAATTTAGTATTATTTTTTATGTAACAAGGGCGCGGTATCAGTTAAATAAATAATTGTCATATAAATATTGTGCAGTATAAACTATCGATTTAAAACAAATTTAGAAAATTTTATTCCACTTGCAAGTTCCTAGAGTTTTTAGATTTTTGATTAAAATGTGCCGCCCCTCCTTGTATGCCGCCCGGGGCCATGGCCCCAGCTCGCTACGCCACTGGCTGTGCAGAATCTGAAACGTTTATCAACTTGGAAGAAGCAGGCTGGGATGGAGGCATAGTTTGATGGATATAGTTTATTTATCTATTTATTTATTAACGTATTACATATAGTTATAAGCTTTTGTTCCAACATAGCAGGAAACCTGGGCTGGAACTCTGTAATGGATAGAGATCGTTATCCCTATCGCTATGGCACTTGCTGTCTTCTTCTCTCTTATCGAAATCAATAGAGAGGGGACGCCACTAGAGATAGAGATATTGATCGCTATCCGTTACAGAGTTCCTGCCCTGAAACCTTGCAATGTACAGTCACGATTCTGCGTAAAGTCTAAAATTTGTGCATAAAATTGGAAATTCGTATACAGAATAGTTCCCAATAGTTCATGGGGAGGTTTTTGACATGTTGGAACAGACCTATAGTAATTTTTTTAAAGCTATATGAACTTTATATGGCTGTTGTTTTGTAAAATATATTTTTTTAAACTAAATGGACAATTACTTCATATGACTACCGTTTTGTAGAATTTATTTTTTCTTTTCAAGCTATGAATAATTACTTTATATAGCTACTCCTTTGTGGAAGGCCTAGTTCCGGTTCATTCATCTTCAGATAAGGTTGCTGGTTACTCTGCAAGATAAATATACCGTTCCGTTCTATAATTCTATTGGTCGGCGAATAACTGGCTAACCAATGGGATTACAGATTGCATTATTATCCGTCGGATTGCATACCTGACAGTTTATCAGAAGGTGAATAAACCGGCGCTAAGGGATATTATACTGTCACTTGCACTTTTGCTTTGCTGTATTTTGAAAATTACCGTAATTTACCCAATGTTCTTACCAAATTATAAATTACCGGTAATTTGCGATTGCTAGAATCAACTATCTCAGCATTGTTTCATTATTAGTTTATCAACAATATTATGGCAGCTAGTTTCTTCCTCGATTCATTCTCATTCGTTATCATGTAGTCATGTTACATTTTCGGTCAAATATAGCTTTTAATTCATTTTGAAGACAACCAACAGTTATTTTGTTTGGCTACTTACGAAAACTTTAATCCCTCTTTAGCAATGATTCTGCCGGAGAAATTTTCCTTGTCGGTGGTGGGTTGGATCGTTTTCAAGCCTCTCCTGGTGTTTTTAACATTCTCCTAAAAATGATAATTGGAATTAAATTTTGTTTTTGTAAAAGAGTGTTGTCATAGCCTAACTTTTGAAAATTGTGGCTCACCTGCTGTACCTCCGAATCAATTTTGATGATCACCTTTTTCGCTTGATCGGTTTTCATCATTTCAACTTGAACACTACTGTTTCTCACATACAAAACTGTTTTGAGATAGATTTTATTAGAAAATCAAAATGTAAACACACACAACTTGGCGGCAACCACTACGTACTGTACGTACGACGGTTTTTTTTCCTGTCACCGTCTGTCAACCATCAAATATCAAGAATGTCAAATTTGAAAAATGACGATTATAGGGTCTGTCTCTGCAGAATCCCAAACCAGTCGGAGTGAATTTCATTGGTTGAAACTGGTTTTCCAATGAAATTCGCTACTCTGACTGGTTTGTGATTTCTGCAGAAACAGACCTGATAGCTGCATTCCAGTATGCATATTGGCGCGCTCTAGAGCACCCCGGGAGCGCCACGCTCTAGATTTGTACCGTTCCAGTATCATGACGTGTGACGTTTGTCCGTACGTATAGGTCGGGGGCTCAACGCTCTGAGTAGCTCCGAGCGTCACACTCCCATACGGAAAGCGGCTGATATATGGGATTCATTTTTCGCTTTGCAGACGTTCTTCAAAAACGTATGCACTATGGTACATTATGCGGATATTTAAAAGATGGAGTTATTGTTTTGGCGTTTTTGCGCCGTCATGAAGCAAAACCAAACAAATCATCGAACATTCAAACCTTGCTCGGAGTGCATTGAACTGAAAATCGAGCACCAAAAACGAATAAAGTGCGTAGAAATTTCGCACTCAGGGCAAAAAGTGCATTCAAATCCCAGATCACTATAGGAAGAGGACATTCTTATACGTTTCAAACGGGAGTACGCTCACTTCACTTGTCATGCCCTTGCGGCGACTAGTAGCCGTCAAGAATCGTAAACAACAAGATTGCTCATCCTTATAAGTCATAAGGCGTACGTTCGCTAATCCCAAGTCGGCAGGGCCTGCGAGTGACGTCACCACAAAATGTATAATTTTCACACCTAGGAGGAACTCCAGAACAGTTCCGGGGCGTTAGGCGCGCTTATCCCTTTTGAAAAGTAAATTGAAGAAGTAGTCCATTTCTCAAAGTGGAGGTGAAAATTTAATTCCAAAAATACTTTGAATAAATTAAAGCCCAACATGTTTCGTGTTTCGAAAAGTGTTTGTTGCACCTGATTGCACAAGCCCGAACTCAAGTCTCAAACCTCAATAGCTATTTATGTACCAACGAGATTATGTAGATTTTGATGCCCGAAGGCGAAACTAGACCAAGGGCCTCTGGCCCGAGGTATTTATTTCGCCTGAAGGGCATTATAATCTAAAAATCCCCATGGTGCATACAATGCTTTATTTTCTACTCAACACAGCACAATGTTCTTTCATCAATTTAGTGTGAAACAAAATCAGTAAAACTTGTGTGACAGAATATTGTTTTGTATAGGCAATTCAATCCATCTGTCAAAAAGGAAAATTCAATGTGGCGTGGCGGCCATGCAAGTTTGTTTTGGATATGTTTTTATGCGTATTTTAAATTATATTGCATACAGTTTTGCTTATAACTTTGATTTTCATTATTTAATAAAATATTTGTTGACTAGGTACCTAAACTATTAATTCCGGCAAAAACTAGATATTTATTTATGTTTTTTGGCCCATGTGTGGACGCCACGCCATCTTGAATGTCACGTGGTTTGAATTGCCTAGAAACGAAATAAATTAATAGGTTCGTTCCAACCCAGCCAAAAACCGTACAATGTACGGTCACGGTCATGCGCCATAGGTTAAACGCGTTCCAACCGAGAGATGATCGTTTACCGTACAGTTTCGTTGGCGTTCCAACCAAACCTGGGATCGTTCGAGAACTGGTTTTAGCACCGTCATTTCGATCCCGAGTGGAAAGCAAGAACCGCGTGGACTGATCCATGACTGACATGCGTAATTCAATTTTTGTCACCTGTTTTTGTTGTTCATGTTGTTGTTAAACAACCAATTTCCAATTTAACTTATAAAACTGTAGCATTTTTATTTTTTCAAGTGAAAAAAAGTACAAAATTTATTATCAGCTATTTGCTAATCCTTGATGTTATCAGCTTGCAAGGATTCAGTTTTAGATTCTTGATAATGAATCAGCGTTGGTGTTCGATTTTCCTTTTTTATATATTATTTTGTAATCCTAATCCTATATTCTTCTATTTTAATTTGCAAACAAACAAATTTAGGGTTAAAGTCTCGGTTAAAGTTATTTGAACTGTCGTCATTACGAAAACGATCATGAAACCGTTCCAACTACCCGTTGTTTCTGTACCAAGATAAAACCGTGCAAGGTCAACGCATGCGCCGACAATTGATCCTAACAGTTCCGAAACCGTTTCATGACGATACGAAAACGGGGGGTTGGAACGAACCTATTATATCTTTAAACTTTAAACATCCCATAAGGCAAGGCAACGGTGGTTGTGTGGGTTAACGCGCTCGACTACATGGGAAACGTTGATGGTAGACCCGGACTGCGTTCAAAAACGGCTAAAGCCGAGCCAAAATTGGCATATTGCGTTCAGTTCGGCTCCAGCGTGCCAAAAACAGTTGGCTTAACGCGTTCCAAATCGGCCGCGGTAAAGTAATTTTTGGAGGCTCTTTCAACTGAGTCTAGAAATGGTTATACGAATTTTAATTGGATGAGATCAAATTCAATATGGCGTGGCGGCCAGCAAGTTAGTTTTGAATATGGGTTTTCATGCATATTTCAAATATTTCGTTTGTTTGCAGCTTCGATTTTGATTATTCAATAAAATATTTGTTAACTAAGTACGTAAACTATTAAGTCGGGCAGAAAAACTAGATATATTTTGTGTTTTTTGGTACATGTATGGTCTCCACGCCATATTGAATGTCACGTGGTTTGGATTGCATATTGAGAAACGGTATTTGGCGTTCCAGCAAATTCACACCAGATTTGGCATCGCCGTGTTTGAACGCACTCCAGGTTCGAATCCTGACCAGATCGAAAACTATTTTCGGTCGGACATTTAGTGACTGCCTAGGGTAAAGTGCAAATTAATAAAACAACAACAACAAGTCAAAAACACCTCGAAGTATTATAAGCGGGCGCTATAGATCATAACGCCCGCTTGACTTATAATGCCCCCCAGGTTGTTATAGGTATGTTAACGTATTTCGTTTCCTAGGTATTATGGATCTATAATAGTTAAGTAGAAAATAAACCATTTAATGCACGGAAGCCAGCGCATCTGTTTCTTTCAAATCGGGCCGACTAACACCGGAGCGAGTGGCTGTAGTGTTTTAAACTCTTGAAAGGAATACAGTTACTACTATCAGCAGCTTATAGTGGTGACGTCACCCGCAGGCCTCGATGAGATGCTTGCGATATTAAGTGGCGGGAAACTTTTCAACCAATAGGAGCTCTGTCGTACCATCGGACGTCGGAATGCATGACGCATGAAACTCGCCCTCATAGCTGTTTTCTCGAGTTCACTTTTTTGAAACTGGTTCAAAGGTTTGAAATCGTATATTCTCGCGATGAGCCCATGACGTCACATCATAATCGGCTCTAACCGTTCCGAAATATAATCTAATCCACGTTTCAAAACCATTTTCTCGTGCCGAGAAATTATGACGTCATTGTAAAACTGTTTTAAACCAGCTTTGAAAAATGTTTCAAAACTTTGAGACGCGAGAAAACACAATAACCCTTTTCACGTGGCTCCGGTTTAACAAACCGCAACATACCGGTCAAACTCGAGTGGTAGGTATCCAGCACGTCACTTTGTAACCGGGTTAGAAAACGGTATGTCATTTCTCTAACCGTTTTGTAACCCGGTTAGTTAAACCGGAGCCACGTGAAAAGAACTCTTATAATCTGTGGTGCAAGCACCCCAAGGATGATACACACTACTACTACAGGATGGCTTATCCTCATAAGGCCTGTGTGTAACAAATCCCCCCCTACCCCCTCGCCAAACAACCAGTTGTGACGAAAGCAGCATGGCGTTTCTCGCCTTGACGTAGGCTGTTTAAACAGCTGACGACTCAGTTATGACGTCGGCAATGGTTGAAAACAGTTGGAAACCAATATGGCGGCGATTACCAAAAACGATGCCGATAAGCACTTCTTAAGGTGCGGTTTGTTGGAATAGTACGCGACGCACAACTGACAACGTAAACGTCGTCATTGGTTCAGGTATGACGTACACCCGTCTTCCGACGTGAGAAAACGGGTGTACGTCATACCTATGGTCATACCTGAACCAATGACGACGTTTACGTTGTCAGTTGTGCGACGCGTACTCTCCTAACAAACCGTACCTTAAGAGTGTGTATTCTCCTTGCAAGCACCCTACGTCATCAAATGACACGCTGTCTACGTCATCACTGATTGAAAACAAAAATTTGTTATTAATGCTAATTATGATTATTTAGGTTGTTGTAGGTAGATAGGCAGAGAACTCGAATAAAATGAAACACAAATTAGGGCGGGTTAACTGTCAGAGCAGTTTTATAATACCCACCCTTAGAGAAACATAATTTTTTCTGTTATGGCCGTTTGCACCGACCGTTTCAAGGGATGCTTCTGAATGGTCGGTGCAAATATCCATTAGAAATTTGTGAAAAACTATACCGGGTCCCTGGTTTGCACAACAGACTATGATCCCGCTGGCTTTTGATTCATAAATACTTGGTTTTAGGGTCGGTTTCTCATAGCGACTCACCTCCGGGTTGGTTTTAACTCGAGGGTAAACGTGTCCAGGTTGTAACGTTTACCCTGGAGTTATGCTTAACCCGGAGGTGACTTGCTATTGAGAAATCGGCCCTAAGTATAGAAATTCTAGACAACTCTTTATTAGATCTCGTTTGCATCTTCGTCTTTGCCTATCATGTTAATCTAAATTAAATAATATTTTTCATCATAAATTTATATTCTAATATACAACCACTGGCGCAACCAGCTAACGACGCTCATGATGACGTCGCATCGGTGCAACACCATATGACCTATTCCCAAAATCGAGGCCGGTAGTAGTGACATTCAATCCTTGCTCGGATTGAAATGAAAATCGAGTACCAAAAACGGAAAAAGTGGGTGCCGAGTTCGCACCGAGCAGGAACCCGGAACGAAATAAAATATCGGTTCCGGTCCACAGCGTCATGACAATTATAAGTTCCGTTACGATTCCGGTTCGAGAAATATTTCGATTCGGTTTGGATATTCGGTCGGTTCGGACGAATAATTTTGGTTTTAACGGTTCATCATACCGGAATAGGTTTTCAAAAATTACAGAAAAATGTATGTTTCTGTAATTTGTGGTTTATTTCTTATTGGATTTCTCTGCCTATCTGCAACAACTTTAATGATAATAAATATTATTATTAATAATAAATTTTTGTGTTTTCGATCTGTTAATTTATAAAAATCTCAATCCCCTCACCAGGCTAAAGTACCAGTGATGACTTACATGTCGGCTCTCGCCTGGGGTAGGGTGCTTGCACCACAGGTTATGATGGCGCTGATTTTTGCTTTATGCACTACATTAGCCAACATTCTAAAACAACTCTTTTTTAGATCTCGGTCGCATCTTTCTCTTTGCCCATTATGTTAATCAAAATTTAACAATATTTTGCATCATAAATATATATTCTTAACTACGACCGCTGACGCAAACCGCTAACGACACCGTTGATGACGTTGCAACGATGCAACACTATATGGACTTGATTCCAAAAATCGAGGCTGATGAGCAATCATAGTCGCTGATGCCAGTGACAAATTTTAAGGTGCTCCACACCCGTAACTTCACATGCCGCGTGTTGCTAAATTCACCAAAATGTTGCACCGCCACGGATGCGGTGATTGCGATTCACCAATGCCAATGCCAAACCACAGCTTTCCAAATCCTGTTTAATTTAACAACACTGCTCTTTCTACCATTCCACCACGGTGCCTACACCAGCTGAATTTAGCCACACGCGGATGGTGCTTCAAACAACGCACCCTACTTTAAGCGTGTATCATCCTTGAGTTTAAGCGACATGTTTTTGATGCACGCTTTAAAGTTCATTGCTTAAATTACAGGTGCTTGAGACTGAGAGGGCAGGGAATAGGAAAAACGAACAGTTCAGTTGCGCGAAACTCTGAATCATTGGAGCGCCTATAAACAGCCCGAGGCGCCGTAGAGCAGCTCCCAATGGGCCGGTATTCTCGTTCTCGAAAACGCTCACCGCTTTTTGGTCGCTCGGCACTTCTCACGTAAATTTACATTAGAAGTGCTCAGGGCCGTTCTCAGGCGAGTGCAGGTTGTGCAGGCACAAATGCGGCCAACCTTAAAGGGCGGTCGCAGGCCACAGTCCTAGGAAGAATTTTTGGAATAAGCATGCAATGACATAAAATTCGTAACGAATATAGGTATTTGCAATTTTCCCCCCAAATTTCAAATTTTGCGAATTTGCTTTTCTTCACAGTGGACTAACCCAATAGGACTGGTCTCCACAAATCGCATCTACATGTTTTTATTACATATATACAAGTTTATCTGAAGATGAAAAAACCGGGCTTAAATTTGTTAAATATTAAGTACCTATTCAAATTAGGTCTGTCATCCGTCCGGATTTTCCCGGATCTATCCTAGCTCTCAAGGCGTCCGGAGGAAATTTTTTGAAGTTATCCATGTTTTACGGCATAACCCATACAAACATTTTGTTTTTTTAAGCTTAAAAAAATCGTTTTTGGGCGTGGCACCCGAAAAAACGTTTGCCTCCGGCGGGCTTTGCATCTAAAATATTTCCCGGGCTCGAGGCTTTCAGAACCGGAGTTCTTGCATCATTGGTCCTAGGTAGCCGATTTCACAATAAGCAGTCCTAATAATAAAAAACTATTTCTAAAAAATTTGGTTGTTTTGAATAGGGGCGGCTTTTTCATGTCTGCACAAAGGCGGCAGAGGGTCTAGGACCGGCCCTGGAAGTGCTGAACGACTGAAAAGCGGTGAGCGTTTTTGACAACGAGAACACCAGCCCTGTGTTTAAAGTGCGTGATTGGAAAACGACTCTTGTAGCCTAGCTGAGTTCAGAAATGCGCGCTTTCCAACACGCTGTATTAGAGTGTTTAATTTATTACGATCTAAACAAACAGCAAAAAGCCTAATTTATGAAATCTTGAAACCGAAAAATACCGGTAAGAACCGATTAATTTATATCGGTTCCTAAAAATAATTAACTATACAAAAAATGATATCGGTTCCGGTTCTGCCTGCCTTACAAACATTTCTATGAAATATGGGTTTCGTTCCGTTCATTGAGGTTCCGGTACGCAAAAAAAAAACCGGTTCCGTTCCGGTTTTCGTTTCAATATCCTTCCGGTCCGGCAAAAGTGTATTGGAATCCCAGATCACCATCGGAATCGAAAGTTGGGTTCCTCGCCTTTTACTCCCTCAGTGCATTCTAAGTACTCCGTACTACTGGCGGTCATCTGAGGGAGGCAGTGCTTACGTCGGTAATTGGTCGGTTATGGCTTTTTAGCAGCGCAAATAGAGTAACGGCCCAAAACCTTGCCAAAAAGTTACCTATGAGCATCTACAACTCCAAAAAAGGCCATATTGAAATGAGGGGTTTTAAATACCGCACACTATGCAATCTACTTCACCGCACACATGCAGTAAACAGTAAAGTAACTTTTTCTACAACTGCATGCGAAAAAGATTTTCACACGCTACCCAGCCTGCAAAAAACTGTTTTCTACGACTGCTCTAGAAAGCTATGAAAACGCACTACTAACTTACCTGGAAAATCAATTATTCCGCACAGCATGCGAAAAGTAACTTTTCACACGCTAATAAATAAAAATTACATATTTGGTAGCTTTATTTTGCAGTTGCAGAAAAAGCATTGTAAAAAACTCGTTTCCAAACCTTTTTTTCACACTTCCTCGACTTGTGAACCGTGGACCTCGCCTACAACAAACTGTCTCAGCCGTGCGAAAATAGCTATTTATACAATAAGTTACTAAAAGACATCGTTTCGTAACGTATTGCATACAAGATTTTTTCTACTGGCCTTTTATAATAAAAAAACACAATTTTATTTCATGTGAATAAGCCGATCAAGCCCAAAATCTTTGTTACCTGCTTTTGCTTGACACCTGATGCGATTTTTTTTCAAGATTCGACATCAATAATTAAAATCCTGGAAAGTAGGTAACAACAAAAAGTTCTGTTTTGAGTAGCCCAAACGTTCAATTCAATAATTTAATTTTTAATATTCATAATAAATACAGATCATAATTCAAATCTGTGTTTAGTGTGTTTTTTTATTTCTGAACAATGAATGACACTTTTAGGCACTAGTGCTTAAAAATCACTTTTACGCACCTAAAAGTCACTTTTACGCATTCAAAAGTCACTTTTACGCACTGAGTGCCTAAAAGTAACTTTCACGCACTCAGTGCTTAAAAGAATGTCGTTTTGAAACTAAAATGACAATCGAAAAGTTGTTATTATGAAACGTCAGTAGAAAAAAGTAGTTTTCACAACTTGTTTAAATAACTATTACCGCATAGTGGGCAGGAAAGTGCTACTTTCTTGCTAAAGTACACTAAACGCACGCTCATAGGTAAATTATATTACAAAATATTAGAAGAAAACAACGGAAACAACTTAAAAAAATTGACACATATCTGCTAGAAACCTAACTTATGTTTATTTTGTAAATAAAATATTATAAATAGTCAATATTCGCTCAGTATAAATTGTTTTATTAAAACTTTATACAAATACTAACATTTGGCAACCTGGTTTTTAACTTTTTTTGAAATTGTTACCCTCATCGCCTTAAAATGAATTTTCTAGTTTTGCATGTTTTTTTATTATTACTTCTAAGTTTTATATTAACTTCCAGGTTCTTTTCTGGTTAAAATAGGCAGTTTTACTTCAACACTGCCTATTCTAATTCTTGAAAAATTGCAAAAAAGTAATTTATATCATTATCATTATTATAATAATTTATACCTACAAATAATACACAACTACTGACATTTGCAGTATTTTTATCACTAATCTAATTCCGTCGTCTTCTGACTCTGGAAATCCTCCAAGCGTTTGGTTCTTCATATTTATTATAAAGCGGTTCCAAACGTTGGTTCTTTTTGAATTTGCTCAGTTTCGTAGGATCCGAAAATTTGAAGAACGCAGGAGCAAATTCCACTAACCATTTAGGATCGATTGTAGTCACTTCTCTCATGTATTCTTTAGTGGTACATACCAGTTCATGGTAAATAACCCTAGAAAAAAAATAGTGGTTTTACGAAGGGTCTGTCCAAAGTACACACCACTTTAGTTCAAAAATTTTATTTATATTTACTTATTTAGTGGGAAAAATAATTTGGTTAATAATTAATACTGAGTACATATTACTTACCACTCTGGTTGTCGATTGAAGAGAGCACTAGACGGATGAATATAAACAACTTGACTGTCAACCAAAGTACGATATCCTTCTTGCGGATCCTTTTTACCAGCGTTTCTGAAAAATCCCGAACATACCGCCTTCTGAACTCGGACCGTGTTTTTCTCGGCAGAAACTACGTCCAATTTATGCCTGTCCATGATACCAAGTAATTGTTTTCTAACATCCTGCGCCCTTTTTAGAGTTCTAATTTGAACGAAGTTTTCGTAGCACCAGGCATTTGAGAATTTATTATTTTTCCAGCTATTGTAGACAGCTAATAAAGTCAAATGGTCACCTTCTGGTTGGTTAAATTTCGCCTTTTTCTGATCGGCGACTGCTTGTTTGTCTTTGGGCCTGTAGAACACGTTTTGTACTGATAGCATGCTGACAATAGTTAGGATTTCGTCGGAACATTGAAGAGCTACTGACATGATTAGCATTTTCGACAAGTTTGGTTCTAGAGGAAATTCTGCCATCTACAAAATAAGATGAATATGTGGTAATTTTGCTTGTTTTGCAATTTTTTAAACTTTGACAAAAATATATAGAAACAATTCTGTATTTACCCTTCTCCCAAGTCTTGTAAGTAAACCTTCGTCATCAAGTGCTGAAAGTGAATGCAATTGCTCCAATGCCATGATAAGTGATTCTACAGGTGGAGCGTCCATGAAATCGAAGTGAAGTAAATCATTTATACCCATAGTTTTCAACTGAAGCACCGTCGTTGCCAAATTTGTTCGTTGAATTTCTGGCACTGGAGTAGGCAACATTTCATCTCTATATGCGCGCTCTGTATACAGTCTGTAAGTTTTTCCGGGACCTGTACGACCTGCTCTGCCAGCTCGCTGTTTTGCCTGTGCCTAAAAAACAATACGTAAGGATGATAATATGCAATTCAATCCTAAAAATAAATATTACACTTTACATAAAATGTATATCAAGCACTACATTCCACCTACTATTGTTGCAAGAACAATAGAAAAGTGAGAATTGAAGCAAGATAATGGTTAACTGTAAACTGAATATGGCTCGGTTTATTCATCTACAAATAAACTTACTGGTTACTGTCTACAAGATAATTTACCAATCTATAATCCTATCGGTCGGCGGATAACTGGACGACCAATAGGATTCTAGACTATCTTTTTGTCTGTCAGATTGCATTACCTGACAGTTTGTGAATTAACTGAGCGTAAATAAAAATAGTAAACTTGAATCAACTTACCTGAGATATAGGAGTAACTACCAACGAATCCATACCCGTCTTTGAATTATAAACTTTTTGCTTAACAAATCCAGGGTCTACTACATAAAAAATTCCGTCAATTGTCAAAGAGGTTTCTGCAATATTAGTTGCTATTACGACTTTTCGGCTACCAGGTGGCGCTGGCTCAAAAATACGGGTCTGCATTTCTGATGGGAGTGCAGAGTAAACGGGCAGAATAATAAGTTCAGGAACTTCGGGACCTAATAGATAAATTTGAGATTAGAAATTATTACTGTTTAAAAAAAAAGACATACCTAAGGACTTCATTCTTTCATATAATATCTCACAAGCAGTATCGATTTCTTCTTGACCAGTTAAAAAGAGCAAAATATCTCCTGGAGGTTCTCTAAGATGTATTTGCATTACTGTTATCAAACTGGCATCTAAATAGTCAGTCTCAGGCTCTTTTGTATATAAAACTTCGACAGGAAACGTCCTTCCTGGTATTGTAAAAATAGGAGCTTCAAAGAAATATTGAGAAAACTTTACAGCATCCAAAGTAGCAGAAGTGACTATAAGTTTGAGTTCGGACCGTTTGGTAACTGCTTGTTTTAGAAGGCCGAATAGAACGTCAGTGTGAATAGTTCTTTCGTGAGCTTCATCCAACATAATGACTGAATATCCTTTGAGGTCTAAATCCATCAGGCATTCACGGAGTAACATACCGTCAGTCATGTACCTATATGAAGAAGAATAACTGATCAGCCAAAAATCCTTGAAAAAAAAAAAAAAAACTTTTACTTACTTTATAATAGTTTCAGGACTGGTACAATCTTCGAATCGAATGGTATATCCAACTTCTTGTCCTAACCTGCAACCGTATTCTTCTGCAACTCTTTTAGCCACTGACATAGCGGCTACACGACGAGGTTGAGTACATCCGATTCTTCCTCTAGCTGTGAAACCCTCCTCGGCCAAATATTGTGTAATTTGGGTGGTTTTTCCTGAACCCGTTTCTCCGATAACGATTAGAATTTGGTTATCTGTGACGGCCTAAAAAATATATAGAATGTGGTAAGTTACATTGTTGTTGTACAAAAGTTGTGTATGTACAGGGTGTTTCCTTATATTTTGACCCCTACCTACAGCTTTAGCTATACGAGGTGGAAAAAAAGTTTAAATATGAAAGTTGTAGGGTTTTATGTCTATTATCTTTTGCAAATGTCAAAATGGGAAAATGACAGGTGCCAACTGTCATAATGACAGACACTTGCATTTTTCCAATGGAACACCCTGTATATTTTTGGCTAGAATGATAGCTTTTTTTCTTCTGATTCCAAATATACCATATATGTTGATATTTGGTTCAGTTGTTTTTGCGCTACTCAATGTTAAAATTGCATTGAGCAAGCCTCATTATTGATAGAAGAAACCAGGACAGATTAAATTAAGCGTAATGTAAATGTATTTTTAAACCCAATGGTTTATAAGAGCATGCAAATGTAATATTTCACAATATGCCAGAATGCCTCATACAAGTCATACATAAGTTCAATCTTCCATCAAAATCTTAAATTTGTTTGTATGATTTGATTAAAATGACAACTCACCTTGCGTAATTCTTCTTTTAGTTTATAGATAGGCAGCGATTTTCTTTGTTCTAGAATAGTGAGATTTGTCTTTTTACCAAATGAAGATTTTTTACCACCAATTACATGCTTCTTCCATTCGGGTAAGTCTTGAGATTGTAAACCTATACCTCTAGGTGCTGCTGGTTTATTTTCCTCTGAAAATAAGAAATTTGTACACATTGCCCCAATGCTTCAACAAAATCCTGCTCAAAAATTTAACACAAAATGCTTACCATCAGGTAGTGGATCAATCCATGATTTGCTTTTTCCAGACGGCTGTGAATCCACTTCGGCCTCCCTTTGAAGCATCTTGTGTTCTCTTCGTTCTTTCGCCAAAGCCGACTGCATCATTGCAGCCTGAGCTAACGATCCATCAGGATTTTTCACAATTCTAAAAAAGTGTGTCTTTAATATAGACCAAAACTGTATTATTTCAATAGTTACCTCACAGGACTTAAATCATTTAAGGCCCGTCCGTGGCCGTGAAGAAAAGGAGGCTCATCTTCTACAAGTTCAATTTCAATATCTGCTTCCCCATCCTCTTCATCTTTCGGTAAAAGACCGGTTTCATCATCAAAGTCTGGCAGTTCGCTTTTGTCGATACTTCCAGAGGCAATCATCTGAAAAAATTAGTATTTATAATAAAAAACTAAAACATCCAATGAAAATCTATTGCCAACGCCTCTTCCTGCTAATGAAAACTTTTCAAATGAGTAAAATTACCTGATTGATTTCCCATCTTTCTGGACTCGATATTCGTGTAACCCTCTTTCTAGTACCGTCTTCATTTTCCTCCAAAGGCAGAGCAAGTTTGAGAACTGATGTGCTATTATAAGTTGGCCGGTCTGGATTTCTGTCTAAAACGATTTGTAAGTATTTATTCTAAAAATTTATTAATTGTATAAAAATGTTTACCTTTGTCTTCTCTTTCTTGTGGAGCGTGCAACGGATTTAGATCTTTTCCAGTCAATTGATCAACATCTTTCATAGACAAAGATACCTTTTGTCCAGTAACTGATAAAACTTTTACCTGAAATGAATGAACATTAAGATGTGCCAAAAAAAAAGAGCAAAAAAGTTTTACCTTCACTTTATTCCCCCGAGAAACAACTTCTGACACCTGCGTGACTCGACCTTCACCCCTCAATTGGGAAATGTGAACTAGTCCTTCCCATCTACGTTTCAAGCCTTCAAGTTGCACAAAACAACCAAAAGGGACAATATTTGCTACTTTAGCGTTGTAAACCTTAAAATAATCAATTTTTAATTTTTATTTAGGTATTAATTTAAAGTAAAACTTACTTTGCCTACCACGGGATCTTCGTCAAGTTCCACACTACCCTTATCAAATTTATTTTTTTTATCAAAATCATCCTCTCTGCCTCTCCTGGTTCTACTTCTAGACCGACTTCTGTCCCTTCTGTCTCTTGATCTTCGTCTCTCCCTAGATCTGCTTCTGTGCCTTTCTCTTCTTCTTTCAGTATCACGCTCACGGTCACGATCTCTTTCTCGATGACGATCCCTTGACCTGTCCCTGTATCTACCTTTTTTGTCATCACGAGATCTGTCGCGCCTACGTTCCCTAGATCTGGATCTGTTCTTTGATCTGGATCGGTTTCTTGATCTAGACCTAGAAGTTTTTAAATAAAAATTAAAAAGGAATAAAAGAAATATACCATTGTCTAGGTATTAGAAAACCTAGCAATAAAAATGTATAATACTATCTGCATTTATTTAATGTTAGATAATGTGAATTTATTTAAAAATCATACCTTTTTCTTGATTTTTCAGTTTTGGAATTGGTACTAGCAGATGGTGCCTCAGCTTCAAATTGTGCCATAAGATCTGCTACAACATCATTATCCTGTTTTTTAGCTTTATTAGAATTTTCTAATTTTGAATCAATATTTTCATCATCACCCAAAGGTTTCTGAGGCTCATTTGGTATAGCTAAACCTGGAAATTTCTGTGCAAGTTCACTTTTTTCCTCTTGAACAATTTCATCCTTTGACTGGTCTTTTCTAGGTCTCATATGCTGTATTATTCTCAACAAATTGGATATAAATGAATCTGCGAATTCTGCACCAGCTTCAATGAGGGCTTTCTTGAATGAATCATTGGTGTTGTTTTTCTCTGATAAATGTATGATAAATTCAGCTGAAATTGAGAATGGAAGATGTTTAGTATAAATGCATTACGACAGGGCTTTCCAACCCGTGAATAGTTAGCACCTTAAATTGTAGCACCCTCGACTTTTTCATGAGTTCTCGACTTTTTGAAAAAAGAGTTCAATAGTTCTCTAGTTAAGGAATATTGAAATACCGAATAATGGTATTGAGAAAAAGAGCATGTAGACAATGAACATTTTGGCTACAAACAGAATCAAATAAAGCTTGGAGCTTAGAAGCGCTGTTTCTCAAGTATCAACACTGAGTTATAGCTTGGAAAAGTAATTTTCAATAGAAAAATATCAAAATACTATAGAGTGCTAATCACATCTTTGAAAAAAAATCTATAGAGAGAGAAAGCACCTTTCGGTTACCAGAGCAATCAAATGCCGCTTTGATTCCGAGAACATTTCTTTTTCCAGCAGCGAATCAAAATGAAATTTTTTATTAGTGCTAGAAAATTGATAATAATATATCAAAAAATTGTCTTCTAATTTCTATAGATGTTATAGTTAGGTTTAGAAGTTTCCCCATGTCTTCACAATCTATCTCCTCATCATAAGGTAAGTCCTAAGGGTAAGTCCAATTTAAATCCAATGCTTCGAAATAAATTTTATACTCTCTCCAACTTCTCTTTGTGAACAGCAGAATTGTCTGTATGTAGTGCTATCAATATCAGTATCTGAAGCATATTTATTGAACATATTGCACAAATTATATATTGGAGAGCTTTTATATAGATTCGTCCGTGGGTAAGATAAATAAAAAACATTTTTTGTTCTTGAGTTGACACGATTTATGGCAAAAAGAAGTTGACCGACTATTTCTGGAGAATCAACATAACCTTTTAGTATTCTGTACGTTGTTGCAAGAAATATTTTAGTTCTTCTTTGATTTAGAGACAGTCTATTAAATAAACCTAGCAAGAAGTCATTGTCACAATCTCTTTGTGGATAAAATCCGTACTTTCTAAAGTGCATAGCTTTCAAAAATTTTCTTTGAACTCCCTCGATAATACTTATCCAAATGTGATACTGAGGGGACCAAATTATACTACCATATTCCAGTATTGGTAATACCAGACTATCAAATAGGTGGATGCTGACATCAATATTGAACTGTTTAGTATTTCTACAAATAAACCCGGCAACTCTCTGGGCACTCTCAATCTTCGAAATAATATGAGAAGAAAATGAAAGATTATCATCAAAAGTTACACCCAAATCTTTTTGTTCAGAAACACGTTTTAGTTTTTCATTATTTATTGTATAGTCAAATTCAATTGGGTTTTTATTACGACTGAAACTGAGACAGGAGCATTTGTTCAAATTTAAGTTAAAGCAATTTTGCTGACAATAACTCGCTGAATCTTGCAATTCTCTTTGAAGAATTTCGCAATCTTCAATCGAGGTGATTTCAATAAATAATTTAAAATCGTCGGCAAATGCCAATGATTCCACATTTTTAACTTTGCAAAGAATTTTATTGAAAGCAATAACAAAAACAAGGGGCCCAAGATTTGACCCTTGGGGCACACCAGAAGAACTAACAAAAAGAGTAGACTGACTACCTTTTAATTCTACAAACTGATACCTTTTACTTGAGTTTGGTCCTAAGTAAGATTGAATTAAATTAATCAGGTATGGAGGAACATCCATTGCCTCCAGACCACCCAAAATAGTTTTGTGACTTACTTTATCAAATGCTTTTTCTAAGTCAGTGTAGATAACATCTACCTGTGTTTTCCTATTCAATGCTTCATGTATATATTGCGTAAAGATTGTTAGATTTGTAAATGTGAACCTTTTTTGTAGGAAACCATGTTGATTGGGAGATATTTTTAGTGATACTTCATTAAAAAGCAATTCAAATATAACAATTTCAAATATTTTTGAGATTGCACACACTATTGTTATGGGTCTATACTTTTTAATATCTTGTTTAGGACCACTTTTGTGTATAGGTATCACTTTACTAAGTTTCCATTTTTCTGGGAATGTGGCGGTTTTAAGCATAAGATTAAACAAGACTTTTAAAGGAACAAGTAAAAATTCACTGCACCCTTTCAGTATAAATGCAGGAATACCCGAGGGAATACCATCATGGCCAATAGACTTGTTTGGTTTAAGTTTTTTGAAAGCCTTTTTTATGTCCAAAACAGATATTTCTGCATCACAAAAGTATGTTTTAGTTTATTGCCGTTTTTGATGATTTTTGGATATTTTGTTATATTCTCAATCGGTTTTATGGTTTTTTATGTAGTGTTCTGTGCCTTTGTGTTTCGGTGTTGCGTTTCATTTCTAACCTGGTTTTAGTTCGGATTTAAGTGTTTTGTCTTTTTATAAGTGTTCACTTTGGACTCTATCAAGACTTATCTGGTTTATTTTATCTTCTTCAGGTAAGTTAAACCTAATACTTACACAATATTACGATTTTAAAAGTGCCGTTTTCTTATTAGCGATGACAGAAAAGTCCCCGGACAAGTCCGATCGTACCAGGGTCCTGGAGACTTTGCTCTGTTCCAGCATCTCAGATGATTTAGGTGTGAAGAAAATACGGTAAAATTGGCAACTTTAAATTACCACTGTCATAATTCATCGCTAATAATTTTCAGGGAACAGCAATAAACCTTGGAGATGCTTCTTCTTTACGAGACGAATCTTTTTTTTTCTAAGCAAGAGGGAAAGTGACAAGGTAGTGTTTTCAAATTTAGTAAAAATAAGCAAATAATCCTTTTGTAGAGACCAATAATTCATGGGAACCCTGTGGCTCAGCAATTTATACAACTCGTATACAACCATTTCAAGGTGTCTCATGAAGATCAAAATCCCATAACTGTAAGTTAATAACAATAAAGTTAGTCTTGATTGATCATAGAAACGTTTTCGTCTTAATCTCAGTAAATGTAGGTACAAGTTTTGGAAGGGGATATTTTCGAACCGAGTGGCTTTTGTTAATTTTTAATAAATAAATTGTAATTTACTGTTCCATTGCCTTTCTAGGAGACAGCTAAGGTTTTGAAACTAAGTGAGACCACTGTCTATAAATATAAGCATGCTTCAGTTGAGTCTGAAATTACCCCTGTCACGCGGAAGCGTAAGAAGTTGCAGACAACTGATTCAAGTGGAAGCGTCAAACAGACTATTCGATTAGAGATATACAAAATGTATACAGAGAGTAAGTTGATGTTCTACTTTGAACATAGAGTTGTTTCAATGTTACTTCATATTAACATTACCAGTAGATTATTCCGAAAGAATACACCTGATAACATTGGAACTTCTCAGATCAAATTAAACTGTTTTTCATAGTTTAATACTATTTTTTATTTCAGGTCAACACAAATTAAGATGCTGCTAGGATTTCTTTCATTCCATAATTTCATGATATTTTTTAGAATTGTTTTCTTGCTTTTCAATAAAGGTACCTGAGTTATTGGAGTCTTTCATAAGGATAAGTATTCATATTCCCCTCTTTGACGTACCTACACAGTTTGGGTTCAGATATTTGCAGAGCTTCTGTAACTTCTGCTGCATGCTTTATCCTGTGTGTTGGGTTTATTGTGTTTCAGATGTTTAGCATTTTGTGTTGTCATATTTTCTAGTGGACTTTGGTACCTCTAAACATGGTATCACTAATTAATGTATCATCTAATATTATGCTTGTATAAATTATTTAGAGGGGCAATGTCCCATCTGTCGCCCACCTCTTACTGTTATTCTTCCTTTTTTATATTATTTAGCAGTTTTTGGTAAAAAACCCATCACTACACAGGTACCTAATTGATTAATTAATAGTTAAATTTAATTATGCACGTCCACTTGTGTCAGTTGTCTCTTGTGTGTGATGTTTGTACCTGCGACGAAGCAGCACTGGTGATGACTTAAGGCCGGAAGCACTCGGCGGATTTTCTTAATAAATTATTACACAGAATGCATACTCCTCTCTTCTTCAATTATAAGTTTAAGCCATTTCACTAACACAAACTAGACTGGGTAATTTTAGTTCATTTTTGGGTAGTAGTCTTTTTGTTATAGGGACTGGTGTTAAATAGTAATACTAAGTTACTTTGTTCAATTACCTTTAAGAGTTACGTTATAATGGTGTCACCAGCAAATTCCATAAGAATACACTCGGTGTCATTATTGACGAAAGTCTCAAAGCTAATTGAACAAGATATACTAACTAAAATCAGTAATATTTGCTGTTGCTACAGTACTACAATATTTAAACAAGCATTTTTCGTTTTTAAAATTGCATATGTTACCCTTAAGACTGTAATTGATAGGCTGAAAGAAAGTGAAATTTATTACGGTTCCCAGTCAAGTTTAGGCAGGGTTTTGCTCACGATAGGATTTACCTTTAGAAAGGATGATCCAAGAAGAGCCCTCATGGAAAAGCCTGATGTAAGCCACATGAGAAGAGTTTTTGGGTAGAAATTTTAGTACTGTATAATTTTATTACTGGAAAATTTGAGTAGAAATTTTAGTACTGTATAATTTTATTAATGGAAAATTTGAGTAGAAATTTAAGTACTGTATATTATTATTGGAAAAATTTGGGTTCATTTATTTAAAATTAAATAATATGTAAAGTCTGTTTTTTTTTAAAGAAAATTCCCCAAGTCAAAAATTTAATAACTTTGTTGGCAACACAAGCCTTTTCTACACAAAAAATTTGAAAGCATTGACAATTTTACATTGCATTGCCAACATAATGTCATTTTGACTTTTATCTTTAAAAAAAAAAACAGATTTTATAATATGTGTGGAAATACTGCAGTTGTTTCTCTCTTTTGCAAGTAAACCCCCTTCAGCATTTAATTCTGTAGCTACCCAAGGAAATAACTAGCATCAATAAACCGCTCGCATATACCATCTAACCTTTAAAAATCAACAGAGTACTTGGGCGGCCAGCTACAGCAACAACTATTAGAAAATATTACGTTTGTTCTATTACAGATGTTTAATATTACTATGCAGGATTTTA